ACTTTTCTCTCATTTGGAAAATCACGCACAAAACTGATATATTTTTGTGCTTCAGAAAATAATATGTATATATTTTGTATATAACAAATTAAAAATGAGGCATATACAAATTAAAAGTATAAAATAGAAATTCAAAAATATTTTATTCAATTAGTAGGAGGAAATGCATTATTTTAATTTTAATTATCTTCCCTACTATTAGCTGAACTTAATTCGAATCACATTTGAACTATTAAACTAAATTATATTTATCATGTTTTAAGTTCGGTTGCTTCCCAAAAATAAATTTTAGTTCTGTTGTATAAATATTATTTGTAATATACTATTTTAAAATATTGTTCAGTTCAAACTATTTAAATTGCCACCCAAAATTAATCTTTAATTTAATTGTAAGATATTATTTTGCTGATTTCTTTTTGCTTACACGTTTATAGAACCATGCATCAACACCTTTGGTGACTAATCGTGGTCTATCATCCTCGCCCTTTGAAGATGCATGGTTTCCAGTTGAATTCTTTTGTCGTTTGTTTAGATACTCTGGCCAAATCCTTTGCCAAAAAATCACCAGTGTTCATTTATGTGGCGTCTTCTCCCTAGTTTGCATAAACTACAGCAGCAATGCCCGAAGCATATTTCAACTGCAAATCCTTTTAAACTGCTCCGTGATACAGGACCCTTTGTTTAGCTGCAGGATGCTGGAGTTGCAGCAGGATAACGGCAGGAATGGGGACCGTGGAGAAAAGGCCTCTATATTTGTTTTCTTTCCTGTTGTTGTTGAGCAGAAAACGAAAATATGCAGCTCGGCACAAAAATGTGCACTTGTTTGTTTTGTTTGTCAACAGAATCCTGTTGGCAGTCCTTTTTGTGGTCCTGTGGCCTGATGTCTGCAATGCCTGCATATGTTGTCAGCGCTAATCAAGCGCACATATGATAAACAGACTCACACACAAACACACGTAGACCGAATCTCAAAGATACAGTGAAACAAATATTAATCACTTTACAAAATTTTCAAATAATGAAATAGTGACTTAAGGATCGCAGAGACAAAAATAGAAAATTCATTAACAAAAATTATAACAGATTAAAAATTTTATTTCGTAATTGTGACAAAAGATCAAATTAATTAAATAGCAGTCTTATAAATGTACTCCTTCAATAGGGTTCCAATTATCTTCAAAGTCGAAATCATTAGAATTTTTAAAAGTGCACCCACCACTAGTACATGCAACACTAGAAGAATAACAGCAAGAAGAACAACAACTGCAGCAGGACTTATGCAATTGTATTTGTTTACCCGGACGGCTTAGCACTGAGTTCTCCTGCTCCTGCATTGTTCGCATTTCTTTCACTTCTTTCCTTTCCCTTCCGCCATCCTCGGCTTTATATATATCCTTTGTGACGGGTCCTTTGGCAGAGCGCAAAACTTTCTGCGCAATTTCACAGGCATTTACCATATGCAACAACAGCAGCAGCCCAAAGGTACAAAGGTGCTTTATGCCTTTTGATTGATTTATGTTAATCTTGGGCAATTATGCCGGACACGCAGGCGATTGCAATGGAATGAGTATGGGTAAGGGGCCTTTAAGGACCCTCCTCCTTCAGCAGGAGATGCTAATTGCATCTGGCCATTAAATGCATAATTTGCCATTGATGGCATGCGGACACGGTGAATGCAAAATCACTTTTGCATGTTATGTGTGGCCTGCTTTGGGATATGAATCGCTTTGAATAATGAAAGGGAACTGGGATCTAGTTGCTTATTCACCAGCCATTGCATAAGCAGCATCTGAATGAATAAGATAGCTGAAAATTATTGATAGCAAACGGAGTTGTATACTTTAGGGTGACAACTTGAGCAGTATCATTTATTGTAACTATTATCTTACCAAATTTATAGAATAATATAAATAAAACCTACTTCATATATTTATTAAGAACACAAAAATGTATTTCGACTATAGCTGCAATACACATAATTAAAAATTTATACAAAATAAATCTTGGTAAAAAAAATTTTACTTGAAATTCTTTTATTTGAATTAAAATGTTATATATATATTAAATTATTATATATTTAAATTGTACTATTCTAGTCAAAAAATAATATAAATTTGTGATATAATTTCAAAGAATTCCATATATAGTTTTACTGAATAGTTTATAAAAAAGATATTACACTTCCTTTAATGCTAAATTTAAATATCAGCAAGATTCATGGGCGACTAAAATGATTTTGAAAAAAGTTGTTCAGGCCCCATGCATCAGACCAAAAACTGCGCTTAAATCTGCACTTTTAAAACTCATAGAAAAATACAAAGGAAAGAAGTTGCTCAGCGCCGCAGTTAGTACTAAGAAAAAGCATCTTTCTGCGGGGTTTTCGACGTCTAAACTACTAACTAAAGTAACATTTTATTATGTCACTATGTCACACACCCAGCCACACACCAACACCAGTGCAGTAGCACAAATACACGTACGAGACTGACATGTTGACATGTTAAAGAGCATGTAAGTGAAGTGTGATGGAAGCTGGGAGATAAGATGAAAGCGGAGCGAGTCATGCACAAAGCATAGAACCCAGAGATATAGTCCACATCCTTCCTTCCGTCTTAGGTATCAAGAACCACGCCTCCGTCCCCCGTCCCCCGTCCCCCATCCTCCGACCCCCGCCGACCGCTTTCTTGTCTGTTTTATGGTTTACTTTTAGTTAGTTAGTAAAAAGAATACAAGTTTTTCCTCCTTTTTTCGGGCGCTCACGTCAGCCGAGGTATTTTTATGATGGAATTTTTAATGAATTTACTTTTAGTCGGGTGTCACGGAGCATCTGCATGCGCTTGCATGTGTGTCCTTCTGTTATGAAGGCAGGATATTTTCTAAGGATTTATATTAAAATCTTGGCTGTCTGTGAGGTTTTCATACCTCGCTGCACACAAACGAAAGAGGTGCAAACTTGTTTATCAAACTCTACTTTTGTTGAGAAAATCGTTTGGGGTTGGTTTTCCATCTGAGCAGATTGAATGCGACAAGTCAAGTGATGTGAATTTAATTTGCATTGCCATCGAAATTGGATTACAAACGAGGAATGTGAACAAATGTTATTGAAAGCTCAAAGAGGAGTTTTAACAAATCAAATTGTGTGATGACATTTTTTGTGGTATATAAAGAATACAATTGAATTATTTCGAGCACCTCACAAGTTTAGTTTGTTCAAGGAATAAATGTGCGCTTTGTTAGGTATTTATTTGAGTATAAGAAAATATTTGTGCTGCCAAATTTCATTATTTGGTACATTTTTTTTATAAAACTAGAATACCAACATATTTGTTTATTATTGTAATGCAAATTATAATTGCTTTAATAATTTCTCAATTGGGCCATAATAAAAACCATTTCATTTCTTGAACTTGAATAGTAGTGCACTTTTTGATTATTGTAACCTCTTCTTAATAGTTTTTGATATCTTAAACTTAGGTTTTTTTTTTGCTAATTCGAAATTTATAAGTCCTAACTTCTGCATTAAGGTTATCAAAGTTCCTCCACACTTCTGTCTAAACTATCCCCACAAACACGTCTTGATTAAAATCGTTGCAGTTAAAACTTATGCTCAAGTTCAAAATTAGCCGAAAGCTAATTAACGATAAGCTCGGCTCGCTAAAGTGCAGTGCAGAAGTTTTCGGCGGCTCGGAAAAGTTTTTAATGCATTTATCGAGTGACTTTGGTCTCGAGCTAAGTGCTTATTATCGGGCATCTATTTCAATTTCCCCCGGCAATTACAAAGCAGCCGAAACTACTTGTAGTTGTCTGGGGATTACGTATTTTTCAGTCGCCTAACCCCTGGCATTTCGCCTGTGGGCAAACACCCACACACAACGAGTGACCTTTCACCCAGGGCAGTTCAAAGGCAACTGCCGGGGACTGCTCATTTTCACTTTGATTCTCTGACAGGGAAATGGGAAATTCCACTCGCCACAGAGAGAGATAGAGCGGGAGAAAGAGAGTTCGAGTGCGCACGAGCCGAGAAGAAAATCGAGTGCGAGAAAATTTCCCTTTGAGTTCGACTCTCGAAGAGCAAAACCGGTTTTTGAGTGGGTTTCGAATAAGCCACTGGAGTGAGTGCGGAGCAATGCATTTGTTCCACTTTCTGAGCAGGATATTTTTGGCACGTTTTTGTGTCGTCGGAGCCTTTTGTGCATTGAGTTTTTGCCACTGCCGGCTTATGGTCAACATGAGCTGAAATGAAGCGTGCTGTGGGTCGAATCCCCATCCTTTTATTTAATTTTTTGCTCCTTTTTGGGGCAACAAAAACTGGCAGCAGGAAGCATTGCGGTATCCTGACGCTCGAGGGACTCATAATGGTCGAGATTTTGAGTTCTAGTTACAGTTTTTGCTCTGTGCCATTTAAGCCGGTCAACTAGGTTAGTTTAAAATAGCTGAACGCTGTGAGATATGTGCGTTAGCAGTCTGAAGCTGCACATAATTTCCATAAATTCTTCATGCCCCAACAAAACTTTTGCGCGTTCCATAATTCTTCGTTTGATTTGGAGCAAACTCCAGCTCAAGCTTATCAAATGCCACGTTGCCCCCTTCCGCCTTTCATTAAAATCAGCAGAGACTGAAACTTTCCCACAAAGCAATTTGCTGGAAAAACACAAGACCGAAAAGCGTTGGAAAACTTTAAACAACGAACGTGACCGAGGTGAAGTTTTCCCTTCTTACCAGCGCCTTTTTTCCGCTCACTATTTTCCGGAATATATAGTTTTTTGGTCAAACTGGGTCAGCTTGAAGAGCAAAAGGGAAAAGGACGTCAAACATTTAAAAACATAAAAGACATGCCAGAAATTGCACGCTTCTTTAACCAAGGACTTGACTTGATTTCTTGAGTGCCTCGCCCACGACTCACTCAAGAGCGGGTGGCTCGAGCAATGAGTGAAATGGAATTTCCCCGCGGCATGGCATTCTCAGCGACGCGATGTAGGCATTATACTCCGCCAGCGAGCAGTCAGTCAACTTACAGCCGCTCCAGCGAACGGACGCATCGAAAATCGAGCGAAAGAAATCTAGAAAAACCCGAAATCGAGCCCATGACTTATATATAGAGCCGTACGAATTGTTTACGTGTCGTGACGCGAGTGCCAGCCGTAGTGTGCGTGTGCCAGACCCAAACAAAAGTTTCAAAAATCAAATAAAATCACCATGATTAGCACCACGGATTATCCATCGGTGGAGACCACCACCACAGCCTCCGGCGAGGAGCTGTATGCGAAATACATTTCCGCACCGGCCAGCAGCATGAGTCCCGCCGCGATTGCCGAGCACCTGCAGCAGAACCAGATCACCTTCGAGATACCCAGTGCCCACGATCTGCGGCACATCGATGCCCTGAACTCCTTCAACGCCCTGCTCCAGCGGATTGGCAATGCAGCGGTGACCTATGACCCCGCTCCGCCCAGCGGATGGTCCCCGGATGGCAGCATCAGCACCGAGCAGCTGTCCAAGTCGGTGGTCCTGGACCTGGCCGACCTCAGGGATCGATCCGAGGAGGCCGGCGAGTCCTCCTGGTGGGGCCAGATCTTCGGCGATGCGGACATGCATGTGATCATCAACTATCTGTGGATCGGAGTGGTCAGCTCGCTGGTCGTCCTGTCGCTGGTCTTCATCCTGTTCAGCTGCTACTTCTACAGGAAGTTCCGCACTTGGAAAAAATGCAGTAAGTTTCAGCCCAACAGTCGCCACTCGTTTTACGCCCCCAAATGCCATACATCTGGCTTTTATGTCCCGACTTTAATCAAAATGTTTCGCCAAAGCCTTATCTCCGGCCATTTATTCAGCTGGCTAAACAATATAAAATGCAGAAACAGGGACTGAAACAGAAACCGAAACAGGTCCCACCCATCAGTTGGGAGCTCTATGGAGCTCTACGGCCGTAAAGCCTCATAAATTTTTTGGCGCGCTTCGAAATTGTCAGCCAGCCGTTTGCATCGTTCTGTTGTAATTTTAGATACACAAGTTTATTATGCCACAAAATATATGTGCCGCATATTTATAATATTAAATTGACTCGCCTCTGCCCGAGGCATTGTGCCCCTTTTATGATAGCGATAATGTACGAGCTGGAGAATATGGCCGACCTCGACGACCCCTCTCCCCAAAAACAAAATTTGTTGCCCCGAAATTTGTTGCTCTGCAGGCGAAAGGCGTGAAATTGTGCGTTGATATTTATATACATTTTTTTGGGCCGGAGGCGATAAAGAGTATAATACAATAAAATAATGATGGACCATATCACTCAGCTGTGAAGCTAAAGTCAAGGAAAATCAGGCAGTAATGTGGGAGATTGTAAACATCAAAGGGTTTAGTATAGGGAACCATTTTAGTTATTTTGTCTCACGCAGACAGTAAAATAGATAAGGATTCAGAATAAATATTTTATTTAAATATAGCAACAGGATTCCTTGTTCCTGACATCACCCACGTTTTTGGTATAGCCTAGCAGTCCCACATTAAATCCAAAATCAATCAAGTTTGACACAACTGTTATCGAAATCCCACCTAAACCCCTAGATTACCACCACTCAACCCAATTCGGTGTAAATAGAGCCCATGTAAAAATATATCTTATCTGCTCCAAACCTGTTGCACCTCTCAACGGGGCAGAACTGCTCCAAATCCCAAAAATAAATCATATGTTTAGGCACTTTACACATAATTACGGAACCACAACAAAGAACCCAACTCATCCGAACCGAACCAAACCAAACCAAACCAAACGAAACGGAATTGAACGGTGGGGCAGGCTAAACAACCTACACAACTAACAAGACTCTGGCTCAAGTGTCAAACTTTTTGCAGACCAATTTAGCCAAATGATTTATTTAGGCCAGGCAGCAAGTGAAGGACTGGGGTCGGGCAAACTTTATGCCTGTTCCTGGGAGAAGAACTTCTACTCCTGGCTCTCGGGCCAAAGGGCCGTGGCCTTAAAGCCTGGCCAACTCAACTGTCAAACTGTCAATTTTGTGCTAACGAGCCTTAAAAACTTTGCCCTGCGATTACGACACGCGACCAAGAAGGGTGGATCCCGAAAGCACCATGCCAACTATATACGTGAAATATCAATTTGAGCGATATGTGTTGCCTGCTTTCGGGCGTCCAATGCGTCTAATTAGTTTCGTTAGTGTCGTGTTCTGTTTTTTTTTTTTTTGCTGGCCTGGTCCTACACACTCCCTCCTGTGCGGATCTGGCCTAGATAGATACCAAGTGGTCGGTCGGTGGGATAGGCATAGGTTGCCAGGGATACCGGGATTCCGGGAGTACGTGTGTCATTTATAATTAAGCAACTAGGCCCAGTTCACTTCGGCTTTTGTGCATTTAATGCCAGCTACGTGGCAACTCGCAGTGTTTACCTTATAAATACTTAACGAGGCCCAAACACAAGAGTGTCTGGCCCAGATGCCAGCCAGGCTTACACCTTATTTATTAAACTGTCACACACAGGCAATGGCAAACTTTCGGTCCTGGCTTTGGCTTGTTATCAATTAGTGCCGCGTACGGGTAAATTTATTAACAGACCGGAAGGAGTCCCTAAATTAAAGCCAAGCAGCAGCCACTGTTTATCATGTTGTATAGGTCCTGCATAATTCAGTTGCGTAAAAATGTAATTAAGCGTAGCTTATTTGGCCAAGACCAGAAAAAGTTGCTCTTAGCTGGTATAGCTGGTCTTTTAAATTTTTAATAGCTTTCACTGCGAGTGGCGCAGAAAAACTAGAAGCTGCTCTCTTTTTTGGCTGTGGAAAATATTTTAGTTCGTGCTGTTTTATTCCCCCCGTTTTGGCAAACTCAAATTGAGTGTTGTAATTAACCAAATTGTTTTGTAGCCAACCAGCGTTTAGTGGTATGGGAAGGGCATACATAATAGAGCTGGAAAAGCAAAAGTTTTAATGGCTGAGACTGCATCTTTTGTTCGAAAAATGGAAACCCAAAAATCGAATCTCCACTTCAATGGCTGGCTTAATAACACTTGAAAGCAGCTTATATTCAATGATAATAATTTTTAAATAAAAAACTCTACTCAACCCGAATAAAGCCAGAAAAGTTCTGGCGTTTAAAAAATTAACAGACATTTATGGCAACACAAAAAAAAGCAGCTCAGTGTTTTCCATTTGCCAGTTTTCAGTCGAGAGTGCCAGCTTATTGCGATGAATTTAAATTGTTGCATACATTTGGGCGCATCGACAACAGAAATGGGAAAAAAGACAGGCTACAAATGCAAAAACGAGGAAGGCAAAGTGCCAATGCTGCTGAAAAACAAAAGGCACCAACGAATGTCATGATAATTTTTTTTTGTCAACCACACAGAGAGAAGTGCATGGGAAGTTTTGTAATATTAGTGTTTTGCAATCAAATGCGATCTAAAATAGGAGTTTCGAAATAGAAAATTCTGAAATAAAAACAAAGTTTTAGATATCAATTTTTCCTTAAGAAACCTCTATCCGGTTATCAGTTTTACCCCAGTTTTTCTGCGTGCAGCAGCCACCTTTCCCCGATTTTTCGACTTTCTTTGCGTCCATCTGCAATGCTTGAAAAGGCTGAGAGGCCGAGGGGCTACCATTTTCCAGGGGCGGCTGTTTGTCCAACACTTGCATAAAATATGAAGCCTGCAGCTTGTGTATGAGTGGGCCACGCCCCCCTTTGTCCATCGCCCTGTTTGCCGGCTGTCTATCAAACAGAGAGCGAGAAAAAACTGGAAACAAAAGTCGAAAAAGAGGAAACACAGAAACAGAGTCCTCATGCGGGGTGTCCTGGCCGAAAAAAAGGATATATATGTGCTACAGTTATAACAATAAATCAACAACTGCTGGCAGCCACTGTAACTGCTGACTGGTTCTGCTACCGCTGCGTTTTAATATTGTAATGCGCAAATTTTTCAACAGGCTTTACCCCCTACCGCAAACGGCGACCACCTTTCCTCCCTGCGATGCACTTTAATTGAAAAAAGCATTTTCGGGACCAGGGAATTTATGAAAAATAAAGCTCGAACAATTAAAAAAGTGCCGAGTTTTTCCAGCCAGCCATACAAATTAAATCGTTCAAAAAACGGGCATGGACGATCCCCTATTTATTTATTGAATGCAGTTTAAATTGCATTTAATAACACTGAATACCTGTCCTTTTTTTCGCCACAACATATGTGAGGGGAAATTCTATTTGACGCAAATTATTGCTTTATCCATTTTTAATCAAGGCTGTAACTCAAAATACAACCAAATTAAATTCTTTGATGGCCTCGGCTTAGAGTGCGTGTGGATGGAAATTGGAATTTACCAATCTTAATTTAACTCTGCTTAATTTGAAACACACACACACACTCACCCACACAAATGGCCAGCAGCTGCGGCATTATAAAAATTAAATGCTTTCTGCTGCCTACTTTCCGGGGCTGTCGAGCTTTTATTTCATTGCAGTTGGCAGAAATGGCGAGTGTGTGTGTGGGTATTTTATTTCATTCCATTTTGCCACGCGCGCACTTCCGGCATATTATTGCCTAGTTGCTGTTGTTGCTGCTGCTGTTGTTTGGGTGGCCGTCAGTCTGCCGTGAAGGAACTTCGCCTGTCCTGCCATCCTCGCCGGCATTTCCGGTCAGCACAAAACTTTCCGCTTCCCTCTTTTTCGCCCGCTTTTTGCAACCTTTTTTGTATTTTTTTGCCTCTGCATTCAGCAAAGTTCAAGCGTTTGCGCCTTTACGCTAAATTGAATTTAATGCCACGGGCCCGTCCTCTTACAAATGTCCTTTGACATGGACAAACAAAGTAATGACGCAGTCGAAACTTTGATGCCTGATTGGGAAGCACCCACTCCAATTTTGTTACACAGAAAGAAACACTCCAGGCGATAGAATACTTGAAATGAAGTGAGCAAGGGCAAATAAATAAGTAAAAAATAGTAATTTTTCAATTTTCGGTAATGTTTCTGAATTTCAATAAAGTTCAAAATCCATTTTTGATATTTACTTATTATTAATATTATTTGATATTACTAATTCCCTTTATTACATGTGATTGGGGCTTTGTTATAAGAAACAAATTCATTATTGCATTTATTTTTCATTCTTTTTTACCTCCAATTTTCTCCCTGTGCACCTAAACAATAGAAACTTTCTGCTGACAAACTCAACTAACAAACTCTGTTCTCTGTTTATTGCAGATAAGGACATACGTGCCCAGATCCATGCGGCCAGCGACTCGTACTCCTCGCACCTGGTGGGCTGCGATGCCAGCAGACTGCTGCTGCACCAGCAGCTGCAAGGACAGCATCCGCATCCGCATCAGCATCATCGGAACAACGAGGCGGGATTCTACCAAATCGAATCGCCGCCCTGCTACACAATCGCCACCGGACTGCCCAGCTACGATGAGGCACTGCATCACCAGCCCCGGCACTTTGCCTACGGCATGAAGTTCGTGTATCCCAGTCTGGCGGCCGTGCATCATCATCATCATCACCAGGCCGCCTGCATTTCCAATTGGGAGAAGGAGGAGCAGTCACTGAATAAGCTGCAAAAGTGCAAGCTGTCAGCGGCAGTGGCAGTGTCAGTGGAGGAGGAAAAAGCCCAGTGCTCCTCCTCGTCCTCGTCCTCCACATCGCAATCCTGCAACTTGGCCGCAGCAACGCCTGCCATCTGCATTAACATGCCGAATGGGAGGCAGCAGGAGCAGGAGCAGGAGCAGCGGGAGGAGGAGGATTCCGCAATGGCAGTGGCAGTGGCACAAAGTTTACAGCCGGCGGCGGCTGCCGACGATGATTGCGCCTCATTGGTCGTCGTTGTTGCCGCGTGATTGCCCAGCCAGGAGTCAGGGGTCATGGGTTAAGGGGTTAAGGATTAGGGGCTGGGGCCGGGAGTAGCAGCCCAATTGCTTAGTCACTTGTAAATAGTTGCATCGTCTGCTAATGTTGTTTGCCCCTGTAATAACATATATCTCTCAACCCCCCACACCGCCCCTTAAGCAAATTTAGTTTCGTTTTTAGTTATCTGTTATATTATTGTATTATGCAAGACTGAGTATTATTTATTGTACTATGTATAAAACCGAATTGTCTATCGATTAAGCCTTAATATCTAAGTGAGAGTGGAAGAAAAATATAAAACTCGAATGAACACATTGCAAACTAAATTACAAATTTTGGTTTTTATTTTCTTATAAGTTTTTCAGTTCCGCCAAATGCCAAAAACTAAAGTTCCTCGATTTTCAGTCCCATTGTTGACCTTGCGCTCCCAGTGCACGAATCCTAATCCCTGGGATACTTGTACTTGGCCAGAGCAAATATCAGAAGCCATTTGGGGTTTCGGATTTGGTTTTGTTTTGAAATTATGTACGTGACTTGGATGCGGCTGGTCGAGATTAGGTCAGCAGAAATGCATTGCAGCAGGGGAATTCCCCAGGAACGTGCAATGCTGAAAGGATATTTCAACGTCCCTTTCAAGTGTTACTTAAGGATTTGGCCAAATAAAGGATTAAATGTAAAGAGGTTTAGGGGAAATTTGAGCTGGTGCACGAACATAAGATATGATCTATCTGTCAGCTAAAGATGTGACTACTTTTAAAAAATAGTCAGATACTTAATTGCCAATGATCTTATTTTGTGAATAGAAACATATTCGTTTCAAAGCAAGTGATTTAATTCCTACATGAGCACCACATTTCCAAACATTCATTTTGTATTTCCCCTTGCAAAAATTCCGCTTCAATTTCCAACATAAAAAACCCCACTTAGCAAAGACATCATTGATCAAAAACTAAAAAACAGACAGTTTCTTAATGTTGCAGTTACTACGAATAAATAGAAACATTAACTAGAGTTAAAAAGTAAAGCTAAAGCTCACAAACAAAACCGAAATAAATATTGTCTACTACGGTGAGGAGAAAAAGAAGAAATTAAATATGCAAAAATATATGAAAAGATATTACCAACCAAAAAAAAAATATGTTCGTCTTGAAATTTTATTTGCAAGTCTGGGATTTCAGGCCCCCAGGCGATGAACCTAATTGGGAACACAGCACTCAAAACCTAACAGCCAACAAAGCAGCACTAAAACACGAGTTAAAGTTTCGTGCGAGCATAAATAATTTCATGTCAAATTTGACACTTTTGTTGAAGCTTCTGCGTCTTTAATGCTGCAATTTGTATTCAAATGTACGATTTGTTGATGAGTCCGCACCGAAGAGGGGCAGAAGGGCCGGCGGAGTCGGACGGATACGGACGGAGGCACTGGCATGGCACATCAAACATTCCATAACGCAGCCGAGAAGTGAGCGAGGAGCTGCAAACACCAAACAGGGCCATAAATTATATTATCGTGCATCGTGTATCTGGTTCAGGTCGCAGTCATGAGTGACTGTGCCTCAAAGCTGGGCCAAGGCGGGGGGTTCGGAGTGGGAATGGGAATGGGACTGCCAACGGGATTGGGATTGGAATCGGGGAATGGGGAATGGGGACTGCAAACTGAGGACTGAGGACTGAGGACTGGCACTGACATCAACACCAGCAGCTACATCTACTACAGAACTTGTGGCTCTGGGTCTCTGTGTGTCGTGGTCGTGCTTTGCGTTCTTGCCATGATTTGCCGAAATGCACAAAAAACACAGTCCAAGACAAAAAGAATAAAGCTCTGGGAAGGTAAGCCGAATACGAGGTGCCCTAATAAAGTGAATAAGGTGTGTGTACTTAACGTAGGAGTCCTCTGCTCCCAAATGCTGTTTTTACGGTCTTTAAATAAGAAATACTTGAAAAATTGCGGATTAAAAAAACTTAATTTGGCAAGTTATTAAATAAAATATATAATAAATTTAAAAAAAAAAACAAGAAGAAAAGCTAACTTCGGCCGGAGCCGAAGTTGATATACCCTTGCAGAATATTCTGTAAATTATATTCTTTAAAATTATTCATATGATGTATTCTTAATACTCATAAAAAGTCCCAACTTCCTAACTTAAAAAACACCAAAGTTATGGCATTTCCAATCGTTCAGTAATATGGCAGCTATAGGATGTAGTCGGCCGATCCTTATGAAATTTGGTAGGTCAGATTGATTGGCCAAAAATTAAACCCATAGAAAATCCCAACTTCCTAACTTTACAAACACCCAAGTTATGGCATTTCCGATCAATCAGTTATATGGTGGCTATAGGATATAGTCGTCCGATCCTTATGAAATTCGGTAGGTCGGATTAATTGGCCAAAAATAAAACTTATAGAAAATTCCAACTTCCTAACTTTAAAAACACCAACGTTATGGCTTTTCCGATCGTTCAGTTATATGGCAGCTATATGATATAGTCGCCCGATCCGGCTCGTTCCGACTTATATACTACCTGCAATAGAAAGACAATTTTTGGGAAAGTTTCAAGCAGATAGCTTTAAAACTGAGGGACTAGTTTGCGTAGAAACGGACGGACGGACAGACGGACAGACGGACATGGCTATATCAACTCAGGAGGTGATCCTGATCAAGAATATATATACTTTATAGGGTCGGAAATGTCTCCTTCACTGCGTTGCAAACTTTTGACTGAAATTATAATACCCTCTGCAAGGGTATAATAATAAAATTAAAATAATTTGAATTAGACTTCATAGAGCATAAGAAATATAAAACAAACTTTGGTTCTAATGGCGAGAACATAGTTATCACAAACAATAAATACTGGACAACAAAGTATTGTCACTTTATTTGAAAAGAGAAAAGCTTTGCAAGAAATGTAAATTAATTATAGAAAAAAGGTACAGATCTGCACTAAAAAAGAATAGGAATTTACTGTTGATTAAATAAATGGAAAAAAGTGATACTCTTATCACCCCTTATAAAATTTAAAGCTGCTATAAGCTGAAGCCATAAAAGCCTATTAAAAGAATGATAAAAATGATTTTAAAATGATTTCTTCAGTCGAACCGCCTTTGGAAGTAGGGATACCCTGCTCTGCCCAACGGTCCCCAAAAGCTACCATGACCCCACCAAGGTTAGCCAGGGTATGGAGGCTCCATCGGACAAAGGTGGGCGGAGTGGGAGTGGCTGCCCAGCAGATAAGCGATATGCGGTTGGCATTCATACATGCCAATATTTGTGTTTTATGCGATGTGTTACTACTGTACGGTGGGTGTATCCGAGTATCTGAACACCGGAGTGCGGTACGTTTTTATGGTGAGTGCACGTGTGTTGGCCGTAATTTGTTAAACGGTTTTTCTGATTTTTTCCTTCGGCAGAGTTCATTGAACAGGTTGTTTTGGCTTGACTTTTCGGTCTACTCTTGTTTACCCCATTTTGTGGGCGGGTCATAAATCTCGGAGACATTAATTTGTTTGTCACCTGTCGTACATGCGGTTGAATAAGATGGGTTGCCCTCTTTAATGAGTGCAATTAAATGCCTAATGACTCTGATGACATCGGCAAATCGGATTAAATTTATAGGGGAAAATAATTTATATATTGTCTACGGCTTCTAAAGCTTATATCAATACGTTTAAGCTGTCATTCATTACAATTTTCTCGTAGTCTGGATGGTTTATTGGAATATAAGGCTCTCTTGTAATTAAAGGTTCGACCCAACGATCCTGATCTTTACGATACTTGTCCAAATTTTCCGCTATCTGCTGGCCCAATAATTTTCTTATCTCATCTTCGTTCAGTTCTTCCCATTGAGGTGTATATCCTGAATTTAAGTCTGGCTGCAGTCCTTCAAATTGTTGTTTGGTTAAACCTTTCATTTCGTCGTCTAACAAGTTGGGATCTCCTTTTTTGAATTCACTTTCTTGAAATGTGCTTGAGCTTGGGAGGACATGAGCATGCTTATTATCATCAACCTTGATTATTTCTTCAGGCTGAGATATTATTTCTAGGTTTCCATTTTGAGTATCACTTGGAGGATCATTACTTGACGAAAAGGGGCTTTCTCCACCGGGATAATATTCTCGATTGCCGATATGTTGCGCCTTGGGAACTATATATATATTCGGAGAGTCCTCAGACTTGTGCATTTTGTTTATTGTAGAATCATCACCGGACTGGTGATCGGCCAAAGGAAAATCGATAGGTGGATTACCAAGGCCAACTTCCGATTTTCCTTCGGCATCACCATACTCTATCCTTGGACCAACATTTTCGTTGGGCGTTCGATCTACTGTATTATATGACTCTCCAGATTTGACGTCATAGCGATCATCAAATGGCACCTCCCTATCGACACCCTGTGTAATATATTCAGGATCCCATTCATCAGGACTACGATTTTCGTGGTATTCGTGACTTGGTATTGGATCTTTGGTGCGAGCCCTTTCTTTATTCCTCCCTCCGTAATTTGGCCTCCGATTGTAGACCGACCAATCGTTAGTGGAATCCCGATTATTCGGCCTTTGTCTATCCATGGGGTCTCTATCATTGTGGTCCCGATTCCCATATACTCCCCGATTTCCTCCTCTTCCTCGACCTTTTGGAGCCCGGGGATAATTATCGATATCGTACTCACCATCATCATCTCCGTAATCCAAACTTCTGGTATACCAGGGATCGTCGTCCAAGAATGGGGTTGTTCTTGGATCTAAAAGTTTTAATATACAGGTATATCACAAGAATATGAGGTGATAAAATAAATATTTCTCACCATATCTTTTCCCCCAGTCTGAATTACCGTAAAGATTTCTATATTTATTGTCGCTACTATTTGAATATGTAGAATTCGTGGTAGACGTTTCTATCCAGGAGTCGGGTGTAATAGGTCTGTAATTGGTCTGCCAGTAGAATGTCAGCCAGAATATGATGAGAAAGTCGTGGAACAGTATCAGAGAAGCCAGAAAGAAATCATTCAGACGCATTTCAGCGAATCGGTTCCCGTTGATAGTTTGGCCATGGTACATCACGAACTAAGGTTGAGTATATGAATTAAAGGCCTGTAAAACTAAAAAGAAACTTACCAATAAAATCGTCAGGGTAACAGCGATTTCCACCACTAAATAAGCATAGGGAACAGTACGTGCTACAAGTAACTGGAATAATAGGACAAAACTAGCGATAATCAAGAAGATAAATGCCATTATAAATAAGATTGCGATGTCCAGCGTTAGGTCCATCTAAAATAATTATTAACAAGCAATTATAAAACTTTTGAAGCTGTAATTCTTTTCTTTTTACTTTTGCTGGTAGAAATACACCTATAATCAGGAATAAAACTACCAATATTAAGGCCACTGCAAAGAAGGTCAGAAAATCCGCCCACCAACTCAGAACGACTAGAGCAAATGTGGATATGATCTGCAGCTCAACCTGAAATGGGGTAAAAACTAGTTACAAAAAATTTCTAAAAATTCCACTTACAATAATCAGTGCTACGAGAAAATTGACACATTTGATGAATCGCAGCTTCTCAACAAAAATGAAGATTGCGAATATCAAGATGGCCAGGGCAAAGGTCACTAAACAGATGTAATATAATTCCGAGAACGTTTTCCGTGCATCTTCACTGATGGAATAAATACGAGATATAAGACTCCCGTGGCTTAAATACATAAACTTACATTAGAGCGACTACCATCCACTGGATCAAGGCCAACAGCAGCCACAGAAACAAAAGGACATAGGTTTTTAAGGAAAACTTTCTTCGCGCCTTCCGATAAAAGCGATGCTCGTCCGAGGCATACATCGTAACTCATGGGTCTGATATGTATCAATTCGGTATATATAACTGCAAATTTGTCCGCGATCATTAATATCTGTATGGAAATATAAGGATCTTGGGGTTTGTTATAATACAGAGAACAATTTTAAAAGAAGTCACAAAACTAATGTGATTTGAAAAAAAAAACTAATAATTTGTATTTTTTATTGCCAAAATACGGGGATGTTAAAAGGTTTTCATAAAATGATCGATTAAATGCTATTAACTTGAACCGTTTTCTTTTAGTTGATTATAATTGCAACTAAATTATTCTGGTTCAAGAAAGTGAAGTAATTTTACCTTTTTAATCATGCCATTTCCTTAGCCCAATCATAGTTTGTGTCATTTTGAATTCCCCATTCTTGACCGTCAGGCGTCATATCTGTAATTTATAATGTTATAAAGTGTTACTTAAAAGAGTTCTCCTCTTACCATAGTCATAGTCCGAATTTACGGGGGTTGTGTCATGTGAATGCTTGGTACTTGTCGACATCCATAAGAAATCAGTGGACGTGAAATAGTTATAGTTGATCTGCCAGTAGAAAGTCATGGCGTACACGGCCAGAAACTCGTTGAAAAGGAACAAGGCGGCCAATAGAGAATCATCCGAGCTCATCTGGACCATCCGATCTCCACTAATTGTTTGCGCATGCAGCATGACACTCTTCGAACACTTAATTAAAAATATATAATATGAGGCTGAACAAAGCTTACCAATGTCATCACACTGGTAAGACAAATCTCGAAGATCAGATAGGCATAGGGCTTTAGCTTTTCCATAAAGTTATTTACCACCAGAAAATAAATCGAGATTGTGACAAGTATAAAGCTCATGAGAAAAAGCGGAGCTATGTACTGCGTCATATCCATCTGAAAGCAGTACAGTATGGCTTATGGATCCTATTCTTTATAACAAGCACCTACCGTAAAGGAAAGATGACAGCCAACGATCAGAGCTACAACCATTAGGAGTACGCAGAAAAAGTAGAAGGCCATCTGATCTGGGATCCAAGTTCGAGCAATTAGCACGAACATCGAAAATACAAGCAGTTCCACCTAAAATATATATACTTGATATAAATAAAAAAAACATAAAACAATAACTTACTATCAGAAAAGCCACTGCTCGGCTGAAAATCTTTTTGCTACGCAGATTTTCATTGAAAACAAACATGGTGAAAAGTATGCCAGCTACGGAACAGGTGGCCGAGCAGTAGATCTCAAAATGTCGGAATATCTTACGACATCTTTCCCTGTGAAATCAGAAATTAGGAAATACTATTAACTCTTTAGGGAAAGTACCTACACCAATGAGACTATAATCCACTGGACAAAAGCTATGGCCAAAAAAATTAAAAGGACAGAGTAAGTTTGGCGTGCAAACCTTTTCCGTATGTGTCCAGTGTCATCCATATCTCCGAAAATAATAATTGGATGTCTCGAAGTAAAACCATTCCCTGCGGATTCGAGTTGAGTTACTTAAAATATCATACGAAATTTGGATATATTTTAATTTGTGATTGGTTTGTGAGAGGTTGCTGTTATTAGTTAAATGAAGATCATAACAATATTTAAGAACTCTAACTGAAAATTCAGTGAGAAGACAAATTTACTACCCAGTATAAAATGACAATTATTAACAAAAGATTTACTTTTTGGATTGTTTCGGATTTCATTTTATATTTTGGCTATATTTACCTAAATAAATGGGTAAATAAAAAAACCTAATGGCTTCTGATTAGTACCAAGCCATTATTTCCCTGCATTTTAATAAAACTGTTCAAATTCAAAGAGGTGTGAAATTTTATATTTGAATTTTTTCATAAAATGTTTTTATTCTGATCACTAGGACTTTTGGCAAAAATACCCATTTTATTTGGAGTTTTTTCATTGTAGCTTAGCCAGAAAGAGATACAGTTTACGAACTAATCAATTTTCGATCAGTATTATTCCTGTCTTCCAATTATCACTTAAAGCAGATCTGTACAGTTCAGAGATTGTGTCAACTATTTAACATATTATTTCAAAAATGTCAGAAATGCTCTTCACCCTGAGCCAGTTCAATTTGCTTAGATGCAAGGGAGCAGCCTTTGAGTCTCTCAAAATAAAGTTGGCCCTATCATTGTGTCAACTAACTTGCTCCGTTCACACACAGCTGCGACCTGGCCCCGATACAAATAGTGTAGCTACAGTAAACACACGCTGGGGCGGCCAAGCGGCTAACGCGTAAAATCAACAAAAATTAACGGGGGACAAACAAGGCGAGCACGGAGCCAAGGTTGAGAAATTTGTGCCCAGCTCGATGCAGCAAACAAATTTGCACTTGTTAGCTCGACTTTGGGTCTTTTTTTCCTGTGTGCGCTGCCAGCGGAGAAAATAGCGCAGAATATGCCAAAGCGACTGTCAACGGCAAGTGTTAAAAATGCCAGATAAATAATGCTGGAGCAGCCAGACAAGAGCCACAATGGCAAACAGACTCACTAATGAGCTGACTGCACTGCCATCTCAACTCTGCTGGCTGAATTTCTGACATTCTGACAGATTCGGCTGAGGCATGTGCGTCACTCACCAAATGCTCGTACACAAAAAGGTACAATTTGCATACTAAGCTCAGCGCGTCACACGGTGCGTATGAGCAATGGGGAATAAAAATCATTTAGCGACACATTTGGCATATCAAAACGGCCTTAATGGCGTGTGGCATTCCCAATCAGCAGTTGGCGTCTGTGCTTATACACTACCAAAATAAAAAACCAAAAACCGACTTGAGAAACAGCTAACTGTCGCCGGGAAGCTCAACTATCTGACTGGCATGCAAAATTAATTACGGGCAGAAATTTATTTACGACGACGAGGAGGTTTCTTCCACGCGCTGCGGCGGCCATAAAATTTTTACGCTTTAGCCGAATTTAGGAGCCAGAAAAGGGAGACCAGCAACCAGGAACCAGCAACCAGGAACAAGACTGCAGCTTAGATACATTCTCCTTTCGCCGTCGCCATAAAATCCAGGCGCTGATGACATTTCGCCAGCTGCATTGCAGTGGATGTGGACGTGGATGCGGATGTGGATGTGGATGTGGATGTGTCACCACTGCGGAGGTTCCTCCAGCTACTGCAGCTAGTGGGGATTTTACGAGCTTTTGCAACACTGGCAAACGGGGGATTCCCCACCGAAAAGGGTGTGCCGAAAATCACACCACTTAAGTGCGCGTAATGAAATTTTAAGCAGCATTCGGTTCTGTTTATGATTTCAGCTGTAAAATGGATGCATTCGCCGGAGCCTCTAATTCAATTTGGTTTGGCAAGTGGATGGCTTCCAGTGCGGTTAAGGGCTGAAACATTGCTGCGACAATTTTCGACCACACTCACAACCCAACGAAATATACAATTTATTGCTGTATAAAAAAATTATAGCTTTGTGACGGAGTTAAAATAATTTTCAGATACACTATTTTATATTTACTAATATATAAATAAGAAATACGGGATTTCTTATTTTGATTAAATTTGTAACGTGTTTAATAAACATTGATAATTTAGTATTGGAAATGAATTCGTTTTTAGTCACTTAATAAAAATGAGAAGAATAAATGAATATATGCCAAAATATTTACTTATATTGTTTCTTTGGATTTTACTCAGGCACAACATATTATTAATGCTTAGTGATTTTGTATTTTAAACAGAACCAAAACTCCGTTGTGATTTTACCTTACTTACCTTACTTACCCCTTGAATTAAATGGAAACATTTAACAAATATAGTTGATACTTCTCCTGAATATTAGTTGTCCCACTGCGGATTAGATACACCTAAGCAAACAGATAGCCAGGGCAATCGGAACCACTTTCGATTCCGTAGATTAGCCGCATGTTAGTTCCTATCAAACTGGGTCGCTGTCAGATTATTCCAGTCATAAGGCGCACTACACAGTATATGTGTATGGGGAAATGCCGCTGACTTAGGTCAGGGTTTGGTTTATATAGCGATAAGCCATGATTCCAATGTACTATTCTAAAACAAAGACCAGTGCGGCTAACTTGCTGTTTGTTTAAGCCAAATGCAAACAACTAGCAGACGCTCATTAGCAGCAGCACACGCCGGAGATAAGGACCACACCGGGTCCGGACTCCGAAGATAGCTGCTCCATGGACCCCAATCCGAGTAGCGGATAGATAAAATGCCGCAGGCCAAGTTCAAAGAGGCGGCGAATCGTATGTCGTCACATCATCAAACAAAATGAGCAGCAAATTAGAGGGAGCGACTACGACTACCGCCAGGAAAATCTCAGGGGGAAGGGGTACTTTTCCATTTCCATTTCCATTTTCCACTTGCGTCATCGAAATTTGTAGCAGCTTATCAAGCTAGCTGGCTGGCTGATAAAAAGATGAGCCCCGGAAAATTCTCGGCACTCCGGAGTCGGTGTTTCTGTGTGTGACTCACTTTTGCCGCAGACTCGAACGTGACCTGGCACTTTAGTGACACTCTCATAATCGGAGCGGAGTGTTTTCCTTGGTCCAGCGCCTCTATCAGTTTTACGACTTCCTTTCCAGTCAAAGTCTGGCCAGATATTGTGCGGCTTGGAGGAGGGCCACTTCGGACCACCGGCTAGCTGCAATTAGTTTTATTTTCCGATCCGCAGACTTGTGGCCCGCTTTAGTATCTTTATCTTGGCTAATTGATATTTATGGCCCGAACACGTTCCTCCACTTCGCCTCATTCGTTCGCTCGCTCAGGTGAAAATGTGAAAATTCTCGTGGTGCGTTCTCGATTTTCCTTTCCCATCGTATTGGCAACGGGAAATTATGGGCGGTAGGTTGGGATTGGTATACTTTATTGGGGCATGCGGGAACGATTCTGGGCAAGCGGTGACTCAGACATTGACTTAAGATCCGTGGGGTCAACTCAACGATGGAGTCACGTTTTTGTTTTACACAGAAACAAGATTAGAGTCGTAAACAGTCGAGGACTCGGTGGAATGGCTGGGAAATGGCTGGGAAACGGCTGTGGAAAGGTGGACTCTTCAGCTTGAGTCATCAATCACACTGCTCCGAATACTCTATAAAAAATGCACTTACAGGAAGCCCAAAGGATACTCCATTTCGCCAGCTGTCCCTCCAACGATGTTATAGGCTATCATATTTCCTTCAGGCATATTTAGCCTAAAAACAACCGTGAGGAAGCACTTTTTTTCCAATAAACACTTCACAGGCTTCCCCAAAAAAATGTATCGAAAATTAACAATACTTGTACCCCTTGATTTATGAATGAGTTCCTCTGCTTGTTTGTCTGCTTATGGCAGGATATTCTTTTTAGAGCATGATGTTTGAGTTTTATTTCTGTGTTTTGGGGGTAGGCAAGATATTATGAATGCATTTAGAGTGACTACTTAAAAGTAAATAAATAATGTAGGAAATTGCTGCCGTGTTTATTCAGGAAACCCTGTTGAATAGAGAATGAGTTGTGAAATTTGGTGTGATAGTGCGGATTAAAAGGAGATAAAGCACAATGCTATTTCGATCTAAAAATATATTTTTTTAATGACTAGCTATATTTAAGACTAAATTAAATTTCAATGAGAAAATTTAAACCATTTTAAATGAACTAAACTTAGGTCTTAAGTATTGACGAACGCACTGCCACAGTTTAATAGTTATGGCATCATTTAAGTAAGTATTTAAGTTTCACTTTTCTAATTTAATATAGATTTTTTAGTTTAAAATATAAAAGATTTTCAAAACAACGCAAGAAGTACATCATTTGGTAAACATACATAATTGAAGGGTAAATATAAAAGGTAGTTTCTGATGTACTCCAGATGCCTGCAACATTTCAGAAACGGCAGCCAACTCGACTTGACTTCAAGTTCATTCTTAATTTATGACACTTTCAATTAGGAACTCCTCCTAAAAGGCTAACAGCAGGTCGGATTCCAGGGAAACCTCTGCGACTGGCAACGCAGTGTGTGTGCGATGGGATGGGATGGGCATTCCAGGAATAAATTGAAAACCATAATTATGCTCACGCTTTCAGCCTTCCTCCTCGAGCGTCTGTCAATTGCAAAAACAAACAGGAGATGGCAAAAAGAGCAGGCGGCAAACAAAAGCCAAGGCTATGGACTCAGATTCAGACTCAGAATCGGATCCAGGAAAGGAGTAGTGGGAGATACTTGCAGATACTGGAAGATAGATTGACAATAACGACTTACTGGCCATAGGCCTACCTGCAGGGCCTACTCACAAGTACTTTGTCCTTGGCCCGGCCGTAAAGATAGAGATACAGGCATTGTCAATGTCGCATGTCTGGTGCTGACAAATCGCCAGGAAAAGGGGATTTATGAATAGGCCGAGTGTCGTAGAAGCAGGATGAGGTTTTGGCCCGCTGCCCCTGATCGCTTCATTATTGGGCAGAACATGTCAATTTGGCTCGAACTTCCTCCAACGGAATTGTACAAAAACTGCTCAGTTCCAGCTGCGACTTTGTCTCATTCATAAATTGCCGCACAAATCTATCAAAATCCCCCAAGTTGATTAGCCTGTCAGATAAATCAATTTGTCGCCGAGCATAAAATATTTTTATTATTTCACAAAAGTCCGGCTTAGGCTGAAAATTTTATGCCGTAATTTAGATTGATGGCCTCGAGATACGGGACAAAATGGAAAGTGTCTTCGGCATAATTGCAAAAGCAAAAGTAAATTGCTATTCGCAGTCCTTCGAGATGCCATTCTCGAGTTTGAAGGCCTCTGCGCTAATTTTATGACTAGTTCGTGACTGGAAACTATGGGGAGTGCGCAAGGTGGGCCAGGACTCACCTGTTACCTGCATCTCAAATTCAGAATTCTCAACTCGCTGGCGGTCGCGAGTTCCACTTCAAAATGTGCTCGCAGCGGTGGCAAATAAAATAAAATTTTTACGTGCCCACGCGTCCTCAGTCAACAGTTTTCCCCCCCCCAAAACGAGGGCAAAAGGAAAATCCGTTTGCACGTTGTTTTTCCAGAAAATTAGTTTAAAAGCATCATAAAATAATTTTCGTGCGGCGTTTTGAAATTTCGCGTTTCTCGTTTTATTGTTGCCATTGACTCCCTTTCAACTTTGCCCATTTCGGGTTCGTTTTTCGACCATTCTCACACCCATTTCGTGCCCAGGTGGGTAAATGGATTTGGAGCGCTTAGATAGCCCATCATCATCACCATCATCATCAGCATCGCCATTCGGTGCCTGTGTTTCAAATGGTCCGGCCCCATAAAAGAAGCAAATGCACAGGGCCAAATTAGATTTATGTCTTTTTTGAGATTTTTTGTGGGGCAGTTAAAATTGAAAATGGTCTGTGCCCTCTGCACTTGGGTCATCGTCATTGCCGGGTGAAACGCAATTAGAGATACAATTTATGTTGAGATCCAAGGGCAAATTGAAAACAAATGATGGCCGATGATAGACATAAGAGAATGGCTGATTAAAGCCAAATACAATTTTCAGATATTTTATTTATATTTACTAGGTTACTAGGTCTTCTTCTTTATTGTATTTAACTATAGACATAATTAAGTAACATTAACTCTTGAATAAAAGGCTTTCGCTTTTTATTTAAAAATAAAACATAAAATCTTGTTTTAATGCATAACCCTAATATTTATGTGATATGCTAATGAAAAACACAGTTTAACCCTTTTGGAAAAATCAAATTAAATACATACGGATATTATTTTCTAATAACAATGCAATAACAGTAATTCAGCTTGAAACAAAGGTGATTTCATTACTTCTAAGTAAAAAAATCACATATGAGAATGGCTAATTAAAACCAAATATAATTTTTAGATATTATATTTATATTTACTAGGTTTTCGTCTTTTTTGCTGTATTTAACTATATACGTTATTAAGTAACAATAAATCTTGAATAAAAGGCTTTCGCTATTTAAAAATAAAATACAATATTTTGTTTTAATGCATATTCCAAATATTTCTGTGACAACTATTATTTTCTTATAACAATGTAATAGCAGTAATTCAGCTTAAATCACAGGTGATTTCATCACTTCTAAGTAAAAAATCACACTCTGAATTAATCATCATCATATCTTATGTATTTAGATGAAACTAACATTATTTCTGGTATCATCCTGTGAATCACAAACCTTAAATTAAATCTCAAATTCAACTTTAAGATAGGCAAATTTCGTCATTCGATGATAAGACAAAGCTTACAGAATATTCTTTGACAATCAGACTGAATCACTTGCAAGATAATGATGTTATTTTGTTAGTTGAAGGGCCGTTGCCAGGGGAATTCCCCCCAGGGGCAGCATATTGTGAAAAAATAGTTGAGCAGTACAACTTCCTTATTAGGTGGACAAATTTGTATCTTGTCTCACATATAGAGCAATATCCTTCTGGCTCACGTGTAATCCATACCGAAATGCACTTAAGTCCACACTCCCATTTGTATGTTTCTAAAACCCGATGAGAGTGGCCTGAAATTCGAGCAATTTGTTTTCATAAAGGATCCCCGACCACCTTCATCCACTTCCTTCTTATACAATATGATGCCAATGGCCACTAAATAGTATCTGGTATCTCAAAAAACGAGTGCATAGTATCTTTTGTTGTTGCTTGTTTTCGTAGGAATTATGCCAGGGAATTTGTTGGGAATCTCTCGGCTGAAGCATGTGTGGATTGTGGCATTACTCGCATGTTGTTCCTCCTTTTAGCAGTCGCTTCCTCTAAGAAAACAATCACCAGAGCCTTGCCAAACCACTTGGGCTCTCAAAAAGAAAAGATTAAAAGAAAACTAAAACTAAAACTGAGGAGTTGCGGTGGAGGCGTGAATGTTTCAAGTGCCTTGCGCTGAGCGGACTAGCAGTTTGTTTGCTAAGCTTTTTAATAACAATTTGCCACAAATGTGGCCAGGTTTTGTTTCCTTCTTTTCCTTTATGCATTTTTATATGTAAACATAATTTCTTTAATTGGATTTTGTCGTTGGAGCTGAACAAACATTAAAAGCGCCGTCTGACGTTGCCACAGAGTTGGTGACAATGGCGGTGTGAAAATCGCTGAGGGGTGGTGATTTTCGGGTGGCGCTGCCGAACAAAAACAAAACCAGGCTCTGGGCCAGACAGCCAGCTTCCAGCCATCCAGACCAGCCAGTCGGCCAGCTGGTGGAACCCGTTAAAACTGCTACCAAAAAAAAAGAGTGTGTGGCTTAAGTGTTTAGTTTAGGTCTGGTGAACTTTCCGAGGCGCTGCAAATAGTAGTGGGTGGGGGGTGGGTGTGGGGTCATACGACACACATTTCGGAAACTTTCTGCATTGTTCTAGGCTTTGGTAATTAAATAATTAATTACCCCAGGACAAGCCAATGAAATTAAGTGTTCAAGAATCATAACACTTGCCAGATTTTCCGTGACTATAATAAAATGGTTACATGAAATAATGAAAAAAACAATGTTTAAAACTATATTATAGTTAGGATAAGAATTTTTAATTTATTAAATGTATTACTTTTTAAGATATATATATATATTTAACGTAATCCTTTATAGATTAAAAGAAATTTATAGTAAGAGAATTCGTTATACTGTTTTTTGGCTTCCGAAAAAAAATAAACAGTTTATTGCAATTACAATTATGAGTTGTCTTTTTTTTCTACAACATTCAATTTTGTAAGTATCTAACCAATTTTGTTCGTCTTAATTTAACTCAATTAAATTTGTTCTAATAAAACTTTATACACACCACTTAAAAGCACATTAGAAAATTAGTATTAAACCCTATTACTGACATAAAACTACCTGTAAGCCCCCACAGAGTGTCTTAAGCAACTCTTCTTTGCGGACTTTCTTTGCTATTTTACTTTCTTGGCCCCATCAAACAGTTGAGCTAATCCCGACTCAGTCTGACTTTTATAGCATACTACCGACCTCCCGGCCACCCCGTTCCTTTGGCCAAAGACCATGTCCAAGTCACTCTTCGTCCGTTTTGGTGGAGTGTATATCACCGCAGGGTATTCGCTTCAACAAATGCCACTGACAGGCGACAGCGCGACACGCTGTCTAACAATTTTAATTTTCAATTTTAAACTACGGCTGCGGCGACGTCACGCGGCTGGGTCTTAACCAGGCCCAAAACTTCACTTTTCAAAAAATCATGACCTGCTA